TTCCCGGTAACGGATCTTAACAACTGAGATTCTTCAGCTTCCGTGCTCACGTCGTTACTGCCCGGCGAATATCCAACAACTGAACTAAGCTCTAAACTTCGTCCCGCTTATAACCCCACGGCAAGGACCACGTGGGAAACACAGCTCTCCTATTCTTGTAGTTCATCCATTGCTTGTTAAGAATCTGCAGACTAGCAACGGCTGTTATCTCGTCGCTTGCCTCACGGTCGCAACCTAGCAACGGGTCTACGCGCAACAGTATCATGGCATCTGAGCCCTACCATCAGTCTGTCTATAAGTTCTTCCCAGATCTTTTTTGCTTTCTCTCGGTACTTCCAGACAAACGACGAGAGAGTATTTAAAGTAGGCCACGACGGTTTCCTTCCACAAGCTTTCCCATTCGGTATGCACTATCTTCCCATCATTCGACGCTGTATAGCAGGCATGTCAAACTCAACTTGTACAGAGGGCCACCTCAGCCCTATAAATAATAGTCCAGGGCCGCACTTCAAAATAAAAATATACATTAGATTTTGATACAACGAAATTTAATTCTATGTACTATTTAGGAATAATTTCAATATAATTACCTAAAGTCACATATCTTACAGTTTTAAAAAGCAAGAGAATGCTTTTTTGACAAGTATCAAACAACTTTTCAATATGTAAAAAGAGAGATTATACAAGAAATTATGTTAGAAATAGCAAAACATCGAATTTCCTGCAGCCCGCGTGACACTTCTTGTCTTCTGGTCTGTTGGAAAATTGTCTTGACAAAAAATATTTCTACTAAAATTTGAATATTGATTTTAATATCAATTAGCTTTAAAGTTGAGGGGCCGCACTTTGTGCCTATGGGGGCCGCACGTTTGACACGGCTGCTGTATAGGCTGAGTTACTGCCAGGTGAGTAAGTAAGCTAACTAACTAATTAACTGCCACCAAGGAGTCGAATACTTCTTGAAAAGCCGAGAGTTGCTCGGTCACTCAAAGAATTCCAATCATTTTTTTGGAACCCGAAGGTTCCTTACAGTGTTCACGAAAGCCCGCCATTGGTTTCTATTCTTAGCCAGTTGATTCTAGTCCACATTCTCCCAACTTCATTTCTCTAAGATTCATTTTAATATCATCCGGTTGAGTAAACTACATGTACAAATATAAATAAAAGCAATGGGATGATAAAATTAATGAGTGGCAAAGGCGAAACATTTAGAACGAATGGGAGAGATGAGAAATACATTGTAGTTGGTTGGAAAACATAAATGTAGATAGATGGGGGGTTGTGCGTGAATATAAGATGGGTTTTGGATTGGATGATTGGATTTATTGACACCTTCTTCACACAACTCGGGACTACAGGCAAAACAGCGCTGTCGCTGATCTATACACTTTACCGTTACACACGCAATAGGTTTCTCGGTCTTCACTAGTCGTATCCTGGCAACGGATTTATAAAAGTCCCACTGCAACTTCAAATCACACAAGAAGTCTTCTTTGCACAGTCTAATCTCTTTCTGTGCCATTTCTTCCCAATCACCTTAGACTGCCATCTCCAGAACTCGACCCAATTCTTGATAACTAACTCAAATAAAGTCTTCTTCATCCGAATTTTCTCAACTTCGGACAACTAACTGCCCAAGTCAAAGTCAGCCCACGGAAAACAACGTCCCGTATTGTTTTAGGCTGTTTACTGTTCCGTTGCCTAGCAACAGACGCCCTGCAGCGCGTTGGCTCCCGTGGGAATTGTTTTCAGAGTCATTTCCCAGCAATGGGTCTATACGTCACAATATTAAAAATATATCTTAAATAAATATGACGTATGTGAACTAGATTCGTTTTGCTCACAGAAATATCCACTGGTTGGCTCTTCTGAGAAAGGTAAAGATTCCGTTAAGGGTCGGAAATTTCTTGACTAGATATGGGACTGTTGCTTCTCAAGGACTCTTATCCTATGAAGTTGGTCACTTAGTTATTCGATTAGTTAGTTAGTTGGTTGATTAATGAGGCCGCGCCATAGCTCAAGCGGTTAGTCGCTGGCTTCACACCTCGGCGGCCCGGGTTCGATCCCAGGTCTGGTCAAGTGGGATTTGTGGTGGACAAAGTGGCGCTGGGGTGGGTTTTCTCCGAGTACGTCGGTTTCCCCTGCCAATCTTCATTCCACCAATTGCTCCGCAATCACCCTCCCCTATCATCTGGGGCTGGTACAATAGGCCAGAAGTGGCCGCAGTACAAGGGACTTAGTCCCACCCCACTAGCAATAAAAAAAAATACTGAATTAGTTAGTTAGTTGCTCAATTGTAAATCAGTTTATATTAACATACTTGCCACTTCCACAATCTCTGAATATTATACTTGTTATAAGAAGCTTGGGAAATTCTTAGGAACAATTACTGTGCATACTTAAACGCTTAATTTATAACAAGAATGCGTTATCAGACAAGGAAAAGTGTGGATTTACGTCACGAATCACATGGCCGTGAGCAACTGATGTGTTCTGCGTAATTTCCAAAGGAAAGATACGCACTAAACCTGGTTTAACTTGGATTAGGAATAGATCCGATACGATTCTCAGCCGGTAACCTCGTAACTGTTTTCCCTAGTAGAGATTTGTTTCTTTACTCACTGCCTTGCCCGAAATCTATACTGTAACTCGGAGGCAGATCACATGTACCCCGCTCCAAGTTATTCCACATTTATAATCTTATTTCCGTCGTATACACTCAGCAGTCAATACATCGTTGTGAAATATGAGAACAAGAGCGGAACCGTCACGGGATGAAAAATAATTTTCTCTGGAAGTATATGTTGCTGTCTCGTCACCAGATGCAGGGCAAAATCATGACAAAGATAGGAAACAGATGTTTTGAAAATGTGGCACAGTTCAGATATTTGGGAACGACTAAAACCAAAACCTGATTGAGGAGGAAATTAACGGGAGACTGAACTCGGGTAATGCTTGCTCCATTCAGTCCAGAACCTTTTGTCTTCTCGCCTGCTGTCCAAAAACATAAAAATTAGAATATACAAAACTATAATTTTACAAATGGTTCCATATGGGTGTGAAACATGATCTCTGACAATAAGGGAGGAACACAGACTGAAGGTGTTTGAGAACAACGTGTTGAGGAGAATATTTAGGCCAAAGAGAGACGAAGTGATGGGAGGTTAGAGAAAACTACATAATGAGGAGCTTCATAACTTGTACTCTTCTCCAAGTATAATTAGAATGATCAAGTCAAGGAGGATGGGGTGGGCAGGGCATGTAGCACGAATGGGGGAGACGGTACATAGGATACTGGTGGGAAAGCTGGAAGAGAATACACCACTGGGAAGACTGAGACTTAGGCGGGTGGATAATATTAAAATATATATCTTAGATAGAATGGGGTGGATTTATCTGGCTCAGGTTAGGGATAAGTGGAGGGCTCTTGTGGACACGGTAATGAACCTTCGTGTGCAATAAAATGTTGGAAATTCTTGAGTGGCTGCACAACTGGCAGCTTCTCAAAAAGGGCTCAGCTCCGTGGACTTAGTAAGTTAGTTGGGGGGGGGGGATTTACGACACCTTCAGTATCTGAGATCGAGTGGTAAGATGATAAATGAATGATGAACTGGAAAGAATCTGGAGAGAGAAATGGTCGTGGCCTATTCAAACAACAATCCAGGTATTTGCTTGCAGGGACTAAAGAAAATATCCAATAAATCTTGATAACCGGTGTGTAAGCAGAGAGTGGAACCGAACACTTCCCGATAGAAGTCAAGGGGGTTGCAGCTACGCCGCCCCGCTCGGAGATAAATTAAAGGATTTACTTACCAGACAATAGGTGGTATATAGTGTACATGATCCGGAGAGAACTGAGGCATTTCCTCTCAAACCTACGTGCTTGTTCTATGCAGTTAGGCGACTGGGTGCAGAAAATCTGATAATACGCATGTGGGGTTCTTCGGGCCGTTACATAAGTTCAAACTAGCATCATTATCTCCTGGAATGTAAAGTCGTCCGGCGTGTGGAAAGGTACCAACGTTTCGGAGCAACCTGCTGCCTCCGTCCTCATGCATCTTGGAGATGGAGACAGTACAGTAGTTAATCTTCAGTTCGTTCTTTAATTGTAGGATCTCAGCTAGACCGAGTTCCTTGGTACTGCGGTCTCAAACGAGGCACGCGGTAGCGTACTTGGTTGAGCCACTATGCTACAAGCTGGAAGGACGCGGGTTCGATTCCCAATGAGGTTGTTGGATATTGAAATTTTCCTAATCCTTCCAGCCGCACTGTGGTCCTGGGGTCGACTCAGCCTTTAACAGAAATGAATACCAAGAATCTTCTTTGGGGTAAAGGGAGGTCGGCGCGTAAGGCTGACAACCTCACCGCCATCTGCGAGCCCACTACTTAGAAAATGTGGCAGCCTCGACGTCTCACAACCTTATGGGCTTCCACAGCCCATTACAGGAGATAGTTTTACCTTTAGTTTACCGTCTCAATGGGGCTACTGTACCGGACCCTGATGATACACGACCATGGAGCACTGGTTGAAATGCAATCAACAGGGGAAATTGGAATGCTCGAAGAAAATATGCACGTCAATTCCACTTTACTCATGACAATATATTTAAGGACGCTGCAACTATCTCAGACTATATATATATAAATTTGCGCTGCAAATGATTTTTACGGAAGCGGCTACAGCCTAATTTTAGCTACTATCCCGGAATTTTCTTCGAGGGACTGAGAAATGCCAGATAAGCGGTTTTCCGACCAAGGTTTGAACCGAGCACCTCTTAAAACGTTATCAATATGACAACCAGTTCGGTCTAATTACAAAATGGACAATCCTGGGAGCCTGGACCCCTGCACTAAGAAGCAGGCAAATAATGAAAATAACTGTCACATAAAATTTACACGCGGCTTATATCGTGTTTGGCGAACACGTGAGTCACCTACACGTATATGGATTTAAAAGCCCGCGCGGAATACTAAAGTAAGAAGTGTTGACTATGGAGCCAGGCTGTTAGGATGCAGTTAAAGGTGGTGCTGGTGGTGGTTCTGCTGGCGCTGGTCCAGTTAGCAGCCCTGCACAACAATCACAATCTCGCAGTGGGATGGAGAGAGTGCGGAGACAGACTGCTCTACCGGTGAGTCCCACACTTCGTTCAAGGTCACGCAGGGTTTGGGGCTCTCCTGGTGATGTTTATGAGATGCCACACCGTTTGGTTTGGTAGAGGATCACCGACGTTTCGGATGAACGTACTGGCTCCATCTTCAGGATCAAAGAATAAGCCAAAAGTAGCAAAAATAAAGGCCTCGAAAGTTGCTTACTTTACTAGATTATTCTTCAACCCTGAAGATGAATGCAGGATGTTTCACTAAAACTTGGGTAAAATTTCTACCGGATTACACGGCCTTGCGTCCCGGAAGAAAGTACTCTTTATACGAGGTCATATCTCCTCGTAATGGTAATTTAAAAGCTGAGAGACGGTGTTCGTTCTATGTAATTCATGATTAAACCATCACATGCTTTTTTACTTACATATTCATTGGCCTCCTTCATGCCCGATGCGTACATCTCTCCGACATTTGTCTTTTATCTCCTCCTCGTTACTTTCGGCTCTCCATAACCCTCGCAATTTTGACCTTATTATTTTCTTGTTGTAGATGCAAATCTACTGATGAGAAGCTAATGGAGCTGTAGATGTTACAAGAATTGTAATGCTATAAGTAAACATTCCAGGGCGGCCGCAGCATGAAGCTTTTCTGCTTACCTATCGATAGCATTACGCTTTAAATTGACATATGAACAACAGATCTCATGGAGCGAATATACTTAGAGATTCTTCCGCTTCAGAAGTAGGAAATTAAACAGGGTGTAAGAATTTTATCCCCTTAAAGGTGTCTCCACCTTGCGTTGGTGGGGCTTGCGTGAATCTGTGACCTGGAGAACTATGCCGGAGGTAGTTTAACTACCAGTAGAGTCACACATGCTGGAAAGGTCAAAGGTTAGAGTCCAGAATAAGAGAGAACCCCTGGTCCTCGAGGTTGGGGGTTGGGCATGAGGCTAAGAACCTCATCATGTAAAAATAATTTTGTTCAGAAATCTAACAACCAGCCTCGGGTCATCATGCGTGGGTCCATTCCTATGACAGCAGTCACTGGTTGTGGAGACTGATTGTAGAGGAGGCCAAGGCTCACCCAGGACTGTAGCGCCGAGTGGTAGTGGTAGTAAGAATTTTATGTTTCACATGAGGGTCAAGATGACGCCCTGGCACTTACGAACGCGCCGGGAAGCCTCCATAAGTGGCACTGGCTAGACTACAGCCTTGAATTCGAAATCATATCCCTTCCATTTTTTCCAAATACGGTTAATGTCAGCATGTTATCAATAAAAGTTGTACAGCATAACGAAGGTTCCATCTTATGTAATGTGCAGATGCTTTTTAGCGACTGCAGCAATGTCTGGAAAATTCCATGTCAGTCCGTCTCCTCGTATGTCCTCGTGTAACTCGAGAACCAATCCATGGGTTTTCACGAATCTGGGTACTGAGAAGCTTTCCTGATATTTGTATGTAATTTTCAATTTCGGCCAAAACTGGGCAGCTATGAGGATATTTACAACAGAGGGTCCCAACGGGAGTAGAAGAGGACGTAACGGGATTCGGGGGGGGGCATGCTATAGGGAACCGATTTTCGATGTCAAATCCAGTCGAAATAACTGCTTTTATGTCATTTCCTCCACAGGCATCTCTCACAAATGTTAATCGAGAAATTAAAAAAGAGATCTTACAAATTGTATTAAACCTTTGTCAGTATTATTCATCGTCAAACAAAGAGAACAGCACAGAATTTTCATTTTAATATTTTCGACTATTTTCTCAAAGTTTTGGTACAGCAGGGTGCTCGCGGTAGCGTAGCTGGTTGAGGCACTATGCTACAAGGAGAAAGTGGCGGGTTCGAGTCCCGATGACGCCACTGGATTTTTTCAGTTCAGCTAATCCTTCCAACCGCACTATGGGCCTGGGGGGGCCGACTCGGCCTCTAACAGAAATGAGTACCAGGGATCTTCCTGGAGAATAAAGGGCGGCCGGCGCGTAAGGCTGACAAACTTACCGCCATCTGTGAGCCGATTGTCTAGAGAAAATGTGGGAACCTAGACGTCTCACAGCCCTATGAGCCTTCACGGCCTGTTACAGATAGTTTTACCTTTATGAACAGTAGCAATTACAAGTCAGGTGGTCCTAAACAACAGTATAAGTAGAGTGCACAGAATGAGCTTATTTCAGTACCAAAATTGACAGGAGAGAAGTTGAGTGTTTGGTGAGAACCAAAAGTGGGGCGTCATATCAAAATGTTTTGATGAACATCCCTGTCGCTCTACCTAGAGCGTAAATCATCAAAATATTTATAGGCGTCGGATGAAAGACTGTTAAGCATATTTGAAAGGAGGATCTTGAGATATATCTTTGGACCAGTGGAAGAAAATGGAATATGGAGGAAGAGGTATAACCATGAGCTATACAAACTAATTAATGAACCAGACATTATTGGATTTATAAAGGTGCAAAGGCTTGAATGGGCTGGACACACAATACATGCCGGCGAGAATAGAACCATCAAGAAAATACTTAATATTAAACCAGAAGGAAATAGGAGAGTGGGAAGACCAAGGTTAAGATGGGAAGAATGTGTGTGGCAGGACATAAGAATTTTGGGTGTAAAGAACTGGAGGAATGTAGCATCGAATAGAGAAGAATGGCGAGCAATCCTGAGGAAGGCCAGGGCTCACAAAGGGCTGTCGTGCCAGTGATGATGATGATGATGATGATGATGATTTATAGGCGTAAAAGAAGTTTCGTGTAAACGGTGTAGAGATAAACGAAATATACATCAGCTTCTTCTTCTCGGTGAGTTTCATGGTTTTGCGAAATAATCTGACAAACGGACCGGATGCCCCAAAAGTATAACGCTGTACATTTTTCTAACTTGTTAAAAATGTTACTGATTAATTGACCGCTTCTGTGGTCTAGTGGTCAGAGTATCTGACTACAGATCCAGAGGTCCCAGGTTCGGTTCCCAGCGTTAAGAGATTTTCTGAGAAGTAGTGGGTCTGGAACGGGGTCCACTAAGCCTCCTGAGATAATTAAGGAGCTATTTGAAGGAAATAGCGCCTCCGGTCTAAAAAACCGAGATCTAAGGTAGTGGGGATCCACTGCGCTGACCACATGATACCCTCTATCCGCTAAAGATGGCACTAACTTCGCCGACAAACGGCGGTCGCTCGGTTCGGTATAGTTCGCTTACGGACTACAGACCACGGAGTTTGTTTCTTTTTGGTTTGTTATTGATCTAATATTTCAACTTCGCATGAGTTTGAGCTCCTATTTCACTGATATAAATAAAAAACGAAATTTCGTCAAATAACTTCTAATGCGCCTACAGATTCCCCAATACAAAATGCCATGGAAATCATTTCGGTAATGTCGGAGCTGAACCGACAGCCATGACCTTTTCATCACGCTTTCAGTTTATACGTTTCCTATGATGCTGAGGAATAACACAGGGTCTATTCTGTTTTCAGAGAACGCGTGCAACAGAAATTCAAGTTTCTGGGTACCAGGACGGCTTACCTGCACTACCCTTCATTGGGGATCAGTAACAGTACAATTACCTACATCCTGGCGCTCAATGAATCCAGAGGAGGGTACGCCAGTGTTTTGGGGGGAGGCGTAGGGCGCACATATGTGACCCTCCGTTTCAGGTCTGGGTTCAGTCGTGGCATTAAGTTCGTCGTCGAGATCTATGGGAAATGAAATAGTATAGAAGACAAGAATATCTGCAGTTTATACCATATTGTTCCTCATGTCTCATTTCGCCTAATGCTGACAGATAATCAACAATAAAGATATTATAAAAAAAGGCATATATAATTTATTTTTCCATCCTCAGAACTTACATCCATCCGATGAGGCTTAAGGTTATCCTTTTACCTACTTCTTGGCCTCTAAACTCTCAGCTTCACACCATCTAAACCCACGCGAAATTCTCGTTTGTAGTACAAGTGACATTCTTTCCTACTGTATTTTCAAACTAAAATTCTGTATGCATTTCCCATGTCTCCTGTGCATGCAGCATGTCCCGACTACTTGTACTACAAACGAGAATTTCGCGTGGGTTTAGATGGTGTGAAGCTGACAGTTTAGAGGCCAAGAAGTAGGGAAAAGGATAACCTTGTATATACAGGGTGTCCCAGGAGAAATGGGCCAAACTTCGGGTGGGTTTTCCTTATGTTAAAGTAAGCCGATATAACCCAAAACACCTATATCCAAAGTCGAACGGTTACGGAGATAATGGCCAAGGAAGTGTGAAATTTTGACCGGTGTTACACACTTGTTGATTATAAAATACATATTAAAACTGGCAGGAATATGTGGATTCTGTAATGTTAATAATGTACGTAACATCAAACTAACTTGTGAGTGACGTGAAGCCATAAAATTGAAGTACAAAATACTCGCTCGCCATGTCATAATTGTCCTTACGGTTTCCAAGCACTATACATGACACATGACTGGCAAGCGCTAACGTAATATGGCCGACTGCGCATAGTGGTATAAACAGACTACATAACTGTATTAAACGTACATTCACGGAAAATCTCTTTTGGAATTTCGTTTCCATTATCTCATGTGGATTATTATGGGACCACGTATGAATATTTCGTAAATTATTTACAGCGTCCCGGGTAAACGACGCCTCATCACTGAATAAAATGACGCTTAACAGTTCGGGATGAGCTTTTATCCAGTGGCAGAAATCCATACGCTGAGCATGGTCGCCTGGTTCCAGATGTTGTACCCTTTGATCATGGTAAGGATACAGCTCTTCATCATGTAAAGTTCGCCACACCTGCAAACGTGATACGCTGATGCGAGAGGCCATTCTACGAGTGGAGAGACGCGGACTTCTCTGAATAATCTCAAGAATGTTCTCTCGTGTGTTTATCACTCGTACATTCTCCCTTTCAGAGTGCACAGAAACACTCGGAAGAGAACCAGTATCACGCAATGTCTGGTGAATTCGCGTTAATACACTTCGAGATGGAATCCTTCGATCGGGAAAACGCCTTTGGTATTCTTCAACAGCAGCATGTGCATTGCCACCGCAAAATCCACACACAAAATGCATATCACAATATTCCACGTGTGAAAACACAAGAGACATTTCAGCAACTCATCACACAACTAATCACGACACCGCCGCAATGTACTCTGTAGGTAGCGCATGAGCTTAGGGCTAGTGTGAATCACGACACTCAAGGACAAACAGATAAGACATGCCAGCTGACAGGTATAGTGCGTGGACCCGCCAACTTTTCTCGGGCCATTATCTCCGTAACCGTTCAACTTTGGACATAGGTGTTTTGGGTTATATCGGCATACTTTAACACAAGGAACACCCTCCCGAAGTTTGGCCCATTTCTCCTGGGACACTGTATATATACAGGGTGATTCACGAAGTTTTACCCCGGCTTATGGTACATATTCTTGGGTTTATTTCCTGCAAAATTTCCTTATAAACTTGTGGTCGATTTTCAATAGTTATGGAGTAACAATAGATTTTCGAAACGCTTCATTGTGAATCCAGCGCTATGCTTAAGCGTGGGCGACCATACGTTCTAGTCAGCTATGTCAGCAGATAAGGTAGACCGGTTTGAAGGTTGCGCGTAGGTAGATAGGCAGAGCGGTTCATACGCGTGCGACGCATTGTGTTGACGTGCAGGGAGACATTTTTGAAAATCTTATGTAAATCCAGTCGTCTTCTAAAGCACTACAGTTTAAAGGAAACAGATTGATAAAAGGGTGTGATATGCAACCATTGGTATGTTTACAGAATGGGATGCTGAAAATAATGTTATTTTGTAACACAAAATCGATGAAAAATGTTGCACAATGCAATATTAAGAAATTAAAAAAAAAATGGTTTTAGAATGCTTCTTTCCTAAAACATTAACGATTTAAAAAGTGTTTGTATCGTATTTCTAATTTGTTTTGACTGAAATTCGAAGGAAAAAAGATTTTTCGCCAGTTTTCAAATTACTGTATCCCTTTAACCTTTAAGTGCCGAAGTGCCCCGTTTGTGCCCTTCATGAGTAAGGTCGTCGTGGCCAAAATGCCCCGTTTGTGCCAGTCAGGCATTTAAACTCCGCTAGTGGAAGCGCGCGCACACGCCACTAGTGGAAGTACATGCACAGTCCTAACTATTTATTTTTAAATGTAGTAATTACCAGACAGACTTGAGTAAAACCCTAATAGAGGAATTAAATTGACACCTAAATGAACAACAGCAAATAAAAATATATGTGTGAGTTATGCCAAAACTTATCCACGATTCAATAATTGTATTGCAGATTCTGCAGGTAGGTATGTTAAAATTATATTGTAAAATTCGATGTGCATACCTTTTTTGCTGTTACCTGCTTGATGTATAGATAGGCTGAAATTATTCTACAGTATTCGGTTTCACTACGAACGCACAGAAAACAGATCGCACTCTGTATCTTAGCCACGATGAAGCTGTCTGCTCGTTCAAATAGAAGGGGCAAAAAATTTTGCAGCTCTAACGGAAGGTCTTAGCACTGAAGAAGGGACCCTTCTAGCTTTCTCTTGAATAGCCGTGTTTTCATTCTTCTGTCCTTCAGTCAAAAGATTCGAAAATCCGAAGAGTGTAAGCAGGGCTAGCAGAAGACCAAATGATTTTATTGCTTCCATCTGTTTTATAACACCAGGGACTGTTAAATTCGTCAAGTGTTACAAAGAGAAATGAATTTATAATACAGAACAACTCTGTGAAGAACTGGGAAAACATTTTTGCAGTACTCGTCAAAATTAAAACAAAGAATTGAAAATAGAGTATAACACTTTGTATTAAAAATTTCAAATCTTCCGTTATAATATGCGACACTATGTTCTTTGCCGATATAAACAAAGTTAACACGATCCATTTATCATAAAAATTGAGCAAGATACAGCATTTTTAAACACGACGTTTAAAATTGATTAAGCGCCTAATAGGAACGGACATTTAAACGCAGAGCAGCAGAGTAGCGGAGTACAGATGTTAGTCAATATTTTTTTTATTTTTTACAAATGAACTGCACACGAAATATCCGATGTCTGGATATCATGCCTCATCCAGTTCACGTCTATTTGCAGCTCCAAGTCTCCTGCAGGTTGTGACACGCTGCCCGATGTTCAATAAATCTGATCACCCTTGCTCTTTAGTCTACTGACGGCACTGCGAAACAAATCATGAAAGTGTTCGCAGGTGAGAAGCGCAAATGCCAAGTCTCCTGACCAACATGTGAATGTCAGCCAATGCTGTTTCGAAGCTGACACCGCTGAGAGCGGCTAGACTGTAATTTCTTGTCACATGACCAGACGGCCCAAGTCCACCGACAATACTAGCTGACAGGTTTAAAATACGAAGTCGCTGGTCGTGCAACAGCCTAAAAATAATTATTTACGAAGTTGTTGGGCAGCAACATCAGAACGCACCGACTTATGGAAACAAGGCCACTATCCGTGCTGTCTGTTGCTATAGCAACCTACATATTGCCATGGGCACAATTTATACAGGTAATGAAACAGCGGATTAAGCAACAACTTGTTTTCTTTAAAACACTTTGTACACTACTTCATGCTATTAGTGTCATATATACATACATAACTCTCGCGGACAATTCGTTTCATAATGCAATTCCCTTCGTGAGATAGCCCGGTAGCATTTACACATAAAGAGATCCATAATAAAGTAGCGGTAACTGACTGTAACAGAAGGACGTGATCAGTATTATGGAATGTATTTCGTACTTCACGAACACGTTAATGTCTCATTCCCAGATCCTTAACAACAGGACGTTCCAAAAATTATTTCATCTAAGAACACAGTTCGCCGGTCACGGTAGCCGAGCGGTCTAAAACATGTACTGTCTTCGCTCGCTTGGAAACCGGGATCGTGGGTTCGAATCCCGCTCAGGGCATGGATGTCTAGTTTGTGTGTGTGTGTTTTTCTGTGTTTGTGTACAGGTAGAGGCCTTGCGACGAGCTGATCACCCGCCCAAGGAGTCCTACCGAATGTGTAAGATTTAGAAAAAACCGAAGTGAACGGAGAAGTTAATGGAGGTAGGCCTAGGCCCACTGGGGCTGTAGTGCCAAGGAAAAATATAAAAAAAAAGAACACAGTTCATTTAAACCTTAAATGTGCACTGGTTACTAGATGTGTCACTTTCGCATGCAGGGTATATTCTTGTGTTTCGTGTTATTGTCAGAACAAACAACGATTTTGCTAAATAATGTTAACCTGTTCTGTGTAACTGAGATGCTGTGTTTACTGTGAGGAACGAACTGTAAAGTCAAAATAGGCAAAGGTAAATTTGTTCCTGTGCTTAATAATTTAGTACAATTATTGTACATAAAAACACATGGGGAGCGGAGATACAGCTCCACCAATCTTGATCTCGGCACTAGATGGAGGTCAGTAAACAGCTTCACTCCCCGGCCGATTTACCCTGGGAGAAAGAGCCTCTGACACCCATTGGATGGGAGACTGCGTGGGCCTCACAACCGGTCTGATCGCTGTGGAGCAAACATGGACACAAACCGGGAAAAAGCACATAATATTAATATACTTCCTACGCAATCAGGCCTTACTCAAGTTAAATATACGATTATGTATCTGCAGTCTAAATTAATTACTTTAATATACTGTGACGAATATGATCATTTGCTAGGCAACGACCAAAAAGTTTTCCCTTACCGGGATTCGAACTCTGACCCTTCGACCATCCAGCCAGTAACCGGTCGCTATACCGAGTAAT